AGACCAACACCTATCAAATTGAAGAAAAGCCTCCAAGTTACATCGTTTTACCGGTCAGCAACGTTGCCACTAATGTTTCAAAAATGTTTGACAGAAAACTGGCTAAAATATCTACCAGCTCTTCAACTACTATTAGGAACCTGATACAAAAACCCAAGCATGATTCTGGCACAAGTGCAGGAATCTACACTATACCATGTGGGGGGTGTGACAAAGTATATGTAGGGGAAACAGCCAGAACTCTGGACATTAGAATAGCAGAACACAAAAATGCTTGCAGAAATGATGACCGCAAAAACGCATGTGTTCAACATAGAGACGATGTTGGACACCTCATGAAATTCAATGAAGCTAAACTAGTTATTAAAGAAGACGACTTAAGACGGAGAAAATGCATTGAAGCTGCACTAATTTCTGTCAGTAACACTATAAAGCAAAAATCCGGTAGTTACAGTATTTCAAAATTACTAAGCAAGAGGATATTACCCATCCTGGGAACTGGTGTTACTTGATGCCAGCAGGTCCCTCTCTAACCTCACCTCCTTAGTTCCATTACTACTACTACTACTATTACCACCTCTACCCACGCTTCACATCACCTGACTCCCACCACTATATATATGTGTGTTTTCTTAGTTTTCTCTGTATTAGGACTGAAGAAGCCACTCGTGGCGAAACGTTTCCTTTAATAAATGTCCTGAACTGTACATAAGTGTCTTTTTCCACAAGTTGTAGTAGTAGTAGAAGAAGAAGAGGTAGTAGTAGTGGTAGAAGTGGGAAATAAAAAGGACGAGCCAGTCAAATACAAAGGAAGGGGAGCACTGCAAGAGAGCTAGATGCCCACAGAGGGAGAGCAAGCGCACAGAGGTGCGTGAAAGGGAAGTGGTGAAATAAATGAAGAAGGAACAGAAACACGAGACAGGAGAGAGAAAGACAACCCAGAGGAGAAAAGGAAAGAGGAAAGGGGAAGAGGAAGAAGAAGAAAAAGAAAAAGAAAAAATGAAGATTCAGGTTAAGTCACGGGTGTTCTGAAGATTGGAGCATTTTACAATGTAGTGGGAGAGGAAGGCATCTACAGAGACGAAGCCAGGGCTAAGGTTCATACAAGGAAAGTTGTGTATTAGAGAGGATTCAACTAGACGGCGACTGTTCGAGTTGGAAGTAGGGAAGACAGTTTTAGCAGAAGACCAGTCAATAGGATGGCTATGAACTCTGACGTGACAGAAAAGAGCATTGTTAGTGTCGGCAAGCCTAACACTATTTTTGTGCTCCCTAAGTCTGTCAGAAAGAGATCGACCAGTTTCTCCGAAGTATTGAAGAGGACAGGAGGAACCAGAAATAGAGTAGACACCAGGAACATCTGTAGAGGGAGGAGAGGTATGAACGAGATTAGTGCGAAGAGTGTTAGTCTGGCGGAAGGTAAGCTTGATGTCTAAGGGACGGAGAGAATTGTTGAGATTAGAAAGACCGGAAATGTAGGGAAGGCAGAGGATAGAAGAGTTCTCATGAGTAGAGAGTTTGGGAGAGAAGAAATTGCGTTTAGCACGTGAGAGGGCAGAGTCTATGAAATGGGAAGGGTAGCCAAGACGGGAGAACGAATTATGAAGAGTGGAAATTTCTGCTGGAAGGAACTGAGGATCACAGATGCGGAGGGCACGGAGAAAGAGGGAGATAAGAACACTTTTCTTGACAGGGGAAGCATGATAGGAAAAGTAGTGAATGTACATGCCACTGTGCATAGGTTTACGGTAAACGGAAAAGGAAAAACCTGTAACTGAGCGGTGGACATGGACATCAAGGAAAGGAAGCAAGGAATTAGATTCCCATTCAGCTTTAAACTTAATGGAAGGGGCAAGATTATTAAGAGCTTCAAGAAAAGGTTGGAAGAGACTGGAGTCATGAGGCCACAGAGCAAAGATGTCATCCACATAGCGGAGCCAGAGTGAAGGTTGCACATCGAGGATAGGAAGAACAGTCTCGAAGTATTCCATGTAAAGATTAGCAAGGACAGGAGAGAGAGGAGAGCCCATAGCGACACCGAAGGTTTGAGAATAATATTTCCATTGGAAGGAAAAGGAGTTAGAGTCCACACAGAGGCGGATCAGATCAAGAAAGACATCAGTGGGGATAGGGAGAGGAAGAAACCCTTCATGGGCCTTCTCTCTAAGGAAATCAAGGACATCATCAAGAGGGACATTGTTCTTATGACATTCCTCAGGTCACGTGCGTCACACCTCACTCTCCGCCTATATATATAATGTCTTTCTACCTCTGTATGTTAGAAGTGATCAAGGTCCTAGGACCGAAACGTTTTCTAATAAATATGTCATAGTGTTTGCTTACGTGTCTTTCTAAACCAACTTGTCGGTATTTATTACCAAGGTTTATACCAACTAAAATATTAAAATACACGTAGTCAATGTGATTAGTTGTGACTTCACGTCACCTCTCCAAGTACTTGGGTGTCCACTTTGTAAAATATGCCTTAAGAGCTCTAAGCTGGCCACTAAAAACAGTCGAATTGCTGCACATAGCACAGCTTTCTAATTTCCTTCGTTCGGATACTTGCTCTTGTAAGCATTAGCCACCAGGATGACACTAACACGGAGGACAGATTTACATGTGACGGACAGTTAGTTGAATCAAACTAGGTATTTCGGGCATGTGACATTATGATCCAACAGTCTTTAAAACATATTAGATGAGGTATTTGTATGGATGAGAAACACAGAGCGCCCTCTAAAAGGTGTGACAGTGACCGCCAGTAATGGCTAAAATATTGGAAAGTGTGGATGCGCCTTCTAGGCTGAGTGTTCCCATTATGTGGCCCAAACAGAATAACGTCGCAGCACACATAGGGTGTTCTTTCTTTGCAACTCATTTAGAACAGGGTAACCTCACACTGTGGGTGCTCCCCCCCATGTAACTCACACAAAATAGGATAGCCGCACACCGCGATGCTCCCCACCGTATAACTCGCTCAGAACAGGGTAGCTACACAATGCTGGTGTGTCAAATTTTATTACACATTAAAAAAAAAATTCCTCCCCAGGTGTTGCATCCAGTATCCTTCACCCAGTGGTCAGGGACGGCTAGGTGTCAGAGGGGTCAACAGACGGCAAGGCTGTTACTCAGACCGTGACACTCACACACACAAAGGAGCGGACACAAACATTTATCATAAAAACAGTGCGTGTTCCTTCCCACAATACTGTACTTTACCTTCCCAAGGGAATGATAATAATGTCGGCAACTGCAAGAGAGTACTTCCATATCTTTACTCGCACATTTGCAAGCGACGTGTCTCAGTTGCTGTTTCTGCCTCTTAACGAGAGTGTACCGAACTCACTCCGTTAATATTCTTGAAATTTTGTATTGACTCTGCTTCCTCTGTTTCTTTGTTTATAGGTCATTCTAGTTCCTGAACACTATCAAGAACACTGAAACTTGCAAGAAGCCTGCAGTACCTGCTCTTGCTACCAGCTTAGACCGCAGTAAATAGAGCAGTCGAAGATGAGGAATAACGTATACACCAGAAGTTATATTTTAGTACATCAGCAGAACGTATTTACAGATATTTACGCTATATGGGTATGAGTTAATGAGCCAAAACATTAATAGTGTTTGGAGAAAGATTGTAAGTATGAGAACTCTCGCTACTATGGCTATTCAACACCCATGCAGAGGACGGATTCTGGTACAGTTAACCAGCTAGAGGCTCGTGAGAGTCTGGTAGTCCAGGTTGCCACTAAACAGGAAATAATTGCACTTTTACCCCTCCTCCTCCTTCCTCACTCTGAATAGCTTAATGTTGAGCACCCGTGTACACATTTGCCTCTCTAACACTCTTTCCTTGTCCACCTTACCAAGACCTCTGAGTATTTTGAAGATCGGAATCATGCCCCCTCTGATACTTTTAACTTCTAATGTCAGTTTTTTTTTCTGGAATCTACTTACAGTTTATAGTTTCACTATGAAACTCCTCAATTTCTTTAGTTTCTTGACATTTTTTATTAAATGTGTTTCATTGAGGAATTATATTTTCTATATCCTATATAAAAAGCAAACTGGAAGCAACAGAGTCAATGAAATCGATTATCAGGAAAGAACATAAGAATGTAGGAAAACTGCAGTAGGCCTGCTGGCCCATACTGGGCAAGTCCTTCTCTAAACCAACTATTCCCACACCCTACTCGTTCTACCTTCCAAGACACCCAAGAAATAACTTCAGTACCTCAGGTACTAATGTATATTATGAACTACAGTTGGCCTAAAAATGATCCTTGTGGAACGCCTAAATCATTCTGGACCAGCACCAATGGGGTCAAGCAATAATTCCAGTTAGACTGAGGGAATATTTATATATTTATATTAGCACAAATTAATGTCTGATTTATATCAATTTCATCTAGTCCCATTTAGTCTACTCTGATATTGTTGCATAATTTCAGAACACCTAATAACAATTACTGCTCTCTGAACGTTATTTTACGCACTATAATATGTAAGTGACGCAAGTAGTCATTGATTTTAAGATGTCTAACTCCTTGACAGTGAGTAATCTAATTAATTAGGGTTTAAAATCTGTAGGAGACCATACTGTGAAAAGCTTTTTCGAGTAGTAGATATAATAGGAAGTAGACCAAATGGAAATGGAAGATATGAAATGTTATTAGTGATATATATCTGGCAAGTAAATGTTTGCAGCCAAATATATCACAAGTGAATATCTGCAGTTATATACACTGCAGGTGAATGTCTGCAGTCACATACCTGGCACGAAGTGAATGTCTGGAGTCATATACCTGGCAAGTGAATGTCTGCTTTGATATCCCATGCAAGTGCATATGTAGCGTTATAGCCTTGAGCAAAAATGGAGCACCAAGTAAATTGTGTTTGTTACCACAAGAGTTCAAAATTTAAGACCCGCCGCGCATGCGCAGTGGTGTGACTCAGGGTATATAACGCACGTCTAGTCTGGACTGGACCACATAACCCTCCAGGATGGCAATCAAGATTGTAATAAGTTCCTCTACTCCAGTTGCAATATTTCCAGTGGAATTGTATCACATAATTAAACCTGTGTATATGCAGATGTGAAATCGTAAGCTTTATCTGTAATCTGTTTGTTGCAGATGATAGCGGTGTTGATGGGAGTTGTCTCGGCTACAGGGTTGGTTGCGGCTCCAGGCCGCTTGCGTTTCGTTCGGGAACTGTTACCATACTCAACGGCAGTCCACCCTGGACCGTTCACAGGCGTCAAATCTTCGCATCTCAACGGACTGCTGCCCCACGGACCTATTGGTTATTCTGGAAAACCTATTGAATACAGCGTAAGTTATTACCAGCTTAATGCACAAGTATAATTATAATTCACCTAATTCCAATAACACCCTGCGTCATTTGTGCTATGCTCTGACCATCTTATTTTTAGATTTAAGCATTAGTAGCACTACATATAAGATTCTCCATGGGGAAGTGGAGAAGAATCCTTCCTGTGTAAGCCATGCGTGTCGTAAGAGGTTACTAAAATGCCGGGAGCAACCCACAAGTAACCCCTTCTAAGATACAATTTACTGAACATAAGAGGAATTAAGAACATAAGAACATAAGAACGAAGGAACACTGCAGAAGGCCTACTGGCCCATGCGAGGCAGGTCCAAGTCCCTACCGGCTTAAGCCAATGCACCCAACCTAGTCAGGTCAGGTCACATTGACTTAAGGGAGGAACACGGCAACCGACCTGTTAGCACAAGCTATCAGGTCTAACTCACACCCACCCACATCTACTCATGTATTTATCCAACCTATTTTTAAAGCTACACAACGTTCTGGCCTCTATAACGGTACTTGGGAGTTTGTTCCACTCATCCACAACTCTATTACCAAACCAGTACTTTCCTATATCCCTCCTGAATCTGAATTTTTCCAACTTAAAACCATTGCTGCGAGTCCTGTCTAGGCTAGATATTTTCAGCACACTATTTACATCCCCTTTATTTATTCCTGTCTTCCACTTATAAACCTCAATCATATCCCCCCTAATTCTACGTCTTTCTAGAGAGTGCAGTTTCAGGGCCCTTAGTCTATCCTCATAGGGAAGGTTTCTGATACATGGGATCATCTTTGTCATCCTCCTTTGTACATTTTCCAGAGAATTTATATCCATTCTGTAATACGGTGACCAAAACTGTGCAGCATAATCTAAATGAGGCCTAACCAAGGATGTATAGAGTTGAAGAACAACCTGAGGACTCCTATTATTTATGCTTCTTGATATGAAGCCAAGGATTCTATTAGCTTTATTGCGAACACTTATGCACTGTTGTCTTGGTTTCAGATTACTGCTAACCAGAACTCCTAAATCTTTTTCGCAATTCGTAATATTAAGATCTACATTATTTAGTTTATATGTGGCATGGTTATTGTCCTGTCCAACATTTAGAACTTTGCATTTGTCTATATTAAACTGCATCTGCCACTTCTCCGACCACTGCATCAGTCTATTCAAATCTTCCTGGAGTGCTCGAATGTCCTCGTCAGAATGAATTCGACGGCCTATTTTGGTGTCATCGGCAAACTTGCCGATGTCGCTCTTTATGCCCTCATCTATGTCGTTTATGTAGATTGTGAACAGCAGGGGGCCCAACACTGACCCCTGTGGAACACCGCTCGTGACGCTTCCCCACTCTGATTTCTCCCCATTTATGCAAACTCTCTGCTGCCTATTTGTCAACCATGCCTCTATCCAGGAAAAAATTTCTCCTCCTATTCCATGTGCTTTAATTTTCCTCAATAGTCTCTGATGTGGGACCCTGTCAAAAGCCTTACTGAAGTCCATATACACAATATCATATTCATTACCATGATCTACCTCCTCAAATACCTTAGTGAAAAAAGTTAATAAATTCGTAAGGCAGGAACGCCCCTTTGTAAAACCATGCTGAGATTCGTTGATTAATTTATGCTTTTCAAGGTGGCTACGAACTGCCTCGGCAATTATTGATTCCATAAATTTTCCCACTATGGAGGTTAGGCTTATTGGTCTATAGTTCGAAGCTAAGGACCTGTCACCTGTTTTGAAAATAGGTATCACATTTGCCATTTTCCACTTATCTGGCACCATGCCAGTTTGTAGTGATATGTTGAAAAGATTAGCCAAAGGTGTGCTAAGCTCCTCTTTACATTCCTTTAGAACCCTTGCATACAGTTCATCAGGGCCTGGGGATTTGTTAGGTTTTAATTTATCTATTTGCCTAAGGACCATGTCACTTGTGACCCTAATAGTGCACAGTTTATTATCGTCCTGTTCTACATAATTTATCATTACTGGAATATCGCTGGTATCCTCCTGTGTAAAAACTGAGAGGAAGTATGTGTTAAAAATTCTACACATTTCCTTATCACTGTCAGTGAGCTGACCCGAGGAACTTTTGAGTGGGCCTATCTTGTCCCTGATCTTACTTCTGTATACCTGAAAGAATCCTTTTGGGTTAGTCTTCGATTCTCTTGCAACTTTAACCTCATAATCTCTTTTTGCTCTTAAAGCTTTCGTTTCAGTGGGAGATGGCTGGTGTGTTAAAAAAAGTGAGGTCTACGTTGAGCAGGATATTTTCTGTACACTTTTCAGAAACCTCAATACAAATTCGACTACGCTGTGAGCGATGACTACACCGGCTCCCACTTCGGCCACGCTGAGGAGAGAGACGGCTACGTTACCAAAGGAAAGTACTTCGTGCACCTCCCCGATGGTCGCATTCAGACCGTTACCTACTACGCTGACAAGACTGGCTACCACCCTACCATTACCTATGAGGGCAAGGCCCATTACCCCTCATACGGAGCGGCTCCTTACGTCAAGCCTGCCTATAAAGCCCCTGTAGGAAAATATGGAACTCCGACTCCTGCGTACTTCTAAGTGGTTTTTTTTATATATAACAAAATTTGATTCACTGCTGCTGCTCCATTCTCTGTGGGAACAAAATCTTGTTATATATACTTGGTATATTCCATCACGCAGGATGGGCCTTATACATTATATTGAGATAAGTCAGTCTTAGATGAGTCAGCTACTACGTAGCTAATTAAAGATTTTGTTTCTGCAGCGCTGGAAAAACTTTTATTAGGGAATTACCATGTTTCTGGATGTCTACCACTTATATCGTGGAATATATATATATATATATATATATATATATATATATATATATATATATATATATATATATATTATATATATAATATATAGAAGGGGAGGGACTATATTTTTATATGTAAATATATACATACATCAATATAGAAACAATTCATATTCATTAACGTAATAGCGTCTCGACACAGCATAACAACACAGTACGCTTGAACTTGTACTGTCCTCGTGACAACCAGCCTCAGCATCACTGGCCTCACGACAACCAGCCTCAGCATCACTGGCCTCGCGACAACCAGCCTCAGCATCACTGGGCTCGCGACAACCAGTCTCATCATCACTGGCCTCTCGACAACCAGCCTCAGCATCACTGGCCTCGCGACAACCAGCCTCAGCATCACTGGCCTCGCGTCAACCAGCCTCAGCATCACTGGCCTCGCGTCAACCAGCCTCAGCATCACTGGCCTCGCGACAACCAGCCTCAGCATCACTGGCCTCGCGTCAACCAGTCTCATCATCACTGGCCTCGCGTCAACCAGCCTCATCATCACTGGCCTCGCGTCAACCAGCCTCAGCATCACTGGCCTCGTGTCAACCAGTCTCATCATCACTGGCCTCGCGTCAACCAGCCTCAGCATCACTGGCCTCTCGTCAACCAGCCTCAGCCTCAAGCAACTCAATAAACAGACGGTATTCCGATTTCCTCAATTTCTGACCGAGCTCTAATATAACACAAAGTATACAGTTCTCCACAAATTCTCTGCTTTATAACTTGCCTGTTACATACTGGTCCCTAGCTTAACAAAAAAAAAAAAAAATAATCATCCGAGAAGTTCAAGTATATCACGAGGATTTGTCTTCTAGATGCAATTATCGGATACCTACCTTGTGCTTCTCACCTTGCTCTTATTGATAAATGGGGGTAAAGCTTGATTTCCTGAGTCGTGGATACCTCAGTTAGGTTAGGTTAGGTAAGGTTCGTCAGGAAACAGGACAAATGTTTCCTGACGCGGGTCTTAGTCAGATGATGACCCGCCTTTGGAGCTTTTGGTCATCTGACCGAGGCCTTCCGCTGGCTTACCGGTCCACCCCTTTAAAAATTATGGTCATTTATAACCATTGTTGATAATTGATACCTCAGTTTACCCTTGAAAGTTCTCACACACTGTATATGAGGTTTTCGTTGCTGGTTCCTAAAGAGAATATTTAATTTTTTCAGGGTGTTTAAAGAATTTCTGAAGGTCTTATTGGAGGTTATTATTATTATGTATTATATAGCTTGTCATAGGAAAGCGCTAAACGGTAAACTGCATTATTAACTCGGAGTGCTGGTAACAGTGTGCTCCAGGAAAGCCAGTCAGTTTGGCTTATTTCCATCCAGGTCCTTTGATCCACTTCCCCAGGATGTGACCCTCAAGACTCAGTCAGCCATCTCCCAGGTACCTACTTACTGATAGGTGAACAGGAGTAACTGCTCTGCCCTACGATCGAACATGGGTTCTTCAGTTGTGAGTCGATAGCACTTCCAGGTGTGGTCAAGGAAGAGAAAGGGGAGTGCTTAGGTAGTTCCTTGAATCATGATCCTTGTACCAGCATCAAGGCACTGATTGTTGATGTCTTGATCGCATTATAATGCAATTGTCTTCACTGTATAGGAAACAGCTTAATCAAATTTTGTTTCTTTATTTGCACCAACTAATTTTTGTCCCCGATACAACTCAGCATCACCTGCGATACGTACGGAAGTGAGAAAGAAGGTATCGGTCGCATCACTGATGTACGACACACGAGAGGTGGTCGTGAGACAAAACCTTGTGAGACACACCTAACAACGTGTCTCATAATCCATCACAACTTTGCTCCTTAATTAATAACACCAGTTACCATAACACGACACTTTATATTGTCTCTTAACAAAATGCACAACCATTTTAAAACAATGCAGTAATTCCTCATAGAATACCCTGAAATAATAATAGTAATAATAATAATAATAATAATAATAATAATAATAATAATAATAATAATAATAATAATAATAATAATAAAAATAATAATAATAATAATAATAATAATAATAATAATATTAATAATAATAATAATATTAATAATAATAATAATGATAATAATAATAATAATAAAATTAATAAAATTGAAACTAATAGTAATAATAATAATTAATAATAATAAAAATCAAATTAATAAAATTGAAACTAATAGTAATAATAATAATAATAATAATAATAATAATAATAATAATAATAATAATAATTATTATTATTATTATAATAATCTCATACTGTTAAAACATTTAAGTTGTTAGAAAAGGACTGCAGAGTAAGTAATCCTGCTGAGTTGAGTAAGATGGTTTTTCTTAACAAAAGGTAAATTTACTCAGAACCTTTACTGAGAAGGTTCCAAGTCATTAAACAAGATTATATTTACTACCGTAAATGTAATCTTGGTATGGAGCCTTCTTGAAAAATACTAATATTTCCATGTGAAAAGTAAACAGTGGAGCTTGACCAGAGTTAGTGATCCTTCCCTAAAGTTGAGATTCACCAGAGATGTTGTAAGTCACTTAAACTCTCTGGTGCAGACAGTACTTGAAGCCCTGGTAAGTGTTATGATTGTAGGGGGTACTGAAAGAGTAACAGCAACAGTGTACTATTTTGAAAAAAAAATACCACGGGCGGGGCTAGAACCCGCGATCAGAGAGTCATAAAACTCCAGACCGACGCGTTAGCCACTGGGCCAGCTAGTTACAATAAGATTCATCCATCTAAGTATATTTCTACATCATAGGAAGGTTAGCATAGGCACCACTGTGACCACAAATGCAAGTTTTTACAGACGAATCTCCCGCTAGCGTGGCTGTGACGAACTCTAGCTCAAGTCAACCTCAAAGACGTCAACATGACTCACGAAATCGTAATGGTATGGTTTGTTTCCAATAGTGTCATTAAAATTTCGTGAGTCATACTCTCTTGAAGTCCCCCGGATAACAGCAGCGCAAAACAATCGACACCGCAACATGTAGAGACGCTCGAACATAGACAAGATAACAAACATAGGATTTAATTCTCTCACTGTTTCCAACAACTTACAACGAACCAGTCCTAAAATCCTAAAACTACCAGACCTTTGCTCTACGATAACTGTAAAAAGTTTTCAGTCCACGTTTCATAACGTTAATTATTCCCATCATTCACAGCCTTAGGATTAATTTATTTTTTCTCAGTGTCATAACGAATTGAATCCCTCGCATATATTGATGAAGGAGTCTCAGCACGACACCACAGTCGGTCTTTCTTACTTAACGTTGTAATTTTGTTCGCGAATATACCTGAATTATGGACAGTAAGGCTTTTAACAGGGAGGTACACAAGAGAATAATAGAAAAGTGAATGCTCATGGAAGCAAAGATATTTCTGCTGACTGATAGACAACCCAGAGTTGGCATAAATGAGAAGAAATCAGAATGAGAAACAATACAAATCGTGTTACACTGAGGTCGGAGTTGGATTCTTTCTCGTTTACAATTAATTTTAATGTCCAAGATAAAGGCGCTTTTAGTAAGAAACACCAGCGGCAGCTATTAAATAATATATACCCAAAGGACACCGAATTCTTGTTGATAAGAAATCTGAAGCCAAGGCAACACATTTCAGTCATAACATTAATATATTTCCTTCAAATAAAGATGTGTGTGTTACCTCCAGTTTAATATTACAACAGATATGAGGTGCAGTTATGGTCTCCATATTGCTGAATGAGAGAAAAATTATTTTATGCGTGCAGAAAAACAAATGATTCATATTAATCTATGTAAGAAACATTTAATTTGAAGTGTATAAAATTCAGAGGATATTGTTGATAAATAATATAAATATTTAACTCCAGTTTTTTTAATTTAATTTAAATAAATCTGTAATAATAACAGTGCATATAACATATAATAATTTATAGCACAATCCTCACTATATTCCTGGAAATATTAATTAAAACAAGATTTACGAAATTTTTAGTGATTCCGCTTCTTCTGACGTGAAATAAAACAGGTGGGTAGAAAATATTTGTAATATTCCGCTAAATAAAATATCTGCAAATATTTAGTGAGAGAGAAGGATGCACAGAAAACAACAAGATTAAAGAAAGTTTAATTTATAATAGTCAACAAATAGTTATTTACTGCTTGCGCAATTTGCATAGCAACTCTATCCAGTAGAGTGATCGTTTAGGTCTGCATGATAGCTCTAGGAGTGGAAGACAAGCTAGGGTAATTATGGTGCATGGTACCTAGGCAGTGGGGTACCCGGTGCATGTACAGCAGCTGGGGGATGTACAGCGGCGGGGGCAACCTTGTGGTATGGATCGTTGTCGTAGTTGATGGTGGGATGATACCCAGTTTGGTCAGCATAATAGGTGACCGTCTGGACGCGGCCGTCAGGCAGGTGCACGAAGTACTGTCCCTCCGTCAAGTAGCCGTCACGGACCTCAGAGTGACCGAAGTGAGTGCCGGTGAGATCGTCATGGACAGCGTGCTCGAAATCATAGAATGCCGGGGTCTGAAATAAATGTAAATCTCACATATTTTAGATTAAAAAATACACAGACGCTAAAAACATGCCGACACTGGTACCAACGAACCCACTACGAGACAACAGAAGAAGTTACGAGGAGGCCTGACCTATTTCACACCCTGAAAAATGTGCACGTTGTCGAGGTGAGGCAGGAGAGTTCAGTACTCATCCCAACATTTGTTTCCTTTGTTACATATATAAATGTTAATCCTCATACTCTAGTGACCATTAATAAAATCAAGAATTTATTATGTTATTGATGGTCAACAGTATAACCTGTGAATAACAAATATGTGCAGTGAAATATACTTTGATTTCTGTAACGTGAAATATCAAACTTTTTAAAATCAGTGAAAAGAATTTTGTTCAGAAGCCAATGAAAATATTTTACGTCCATTGAATAGGGAGCGTCGCCCCTCTAAACCCCCGATAACATTTTCGGCCCCCCTAGAATTTCTTTAAATCCTCGAGATTAAAAGCTATAATTAGGATTAATCCAATAAAATGCCTTTCTGAACAATACGCAACAGAAAATGCAACAATTATCAATTATAATCTCCATCTGAATTAATAATTTGGTCTCATTTTTTGCAGGATCTCTTAACGACAAAAAAAAATTAGACGTAACTGCAGTGTAACCTTCAACTACACGATATTTTACTGGGTTAGAGCAAGAGATAGCTATGTTTACCCATCACAACCTGGTGGCTAAAGCTCTCGCTTCAAACGTTGAAGGTCCGGGTTCGATTCCCGGTGAAGGGGTGGAAACAACGGGCGTATTTCCTTACACCGGTTGTCTATGTTCACCCATCAGCTTAAAATAGATACCTGGGTGTTAGTGGACTGGTGTGGGTCGCATCCTGGGGACAAAACTGACCTAATTTGCGGGAAATGCTCAGCATAACAAGCGACTTTCTATATAGTAGTATGTCATTAACCTCAGCTAGACCTGTATACCTTGTACATGTACTGGCAGTAAATAAAAATATATTATTATTATTATTATTATTATTATTATTATTATTATTATTATTATTATTATTATTATTATTCGTCGTAAGGGTCTATACCACAAGACAGATATTATACATGATGTGGTATAATGTATCAGCATAAGCTGGAAGACCTTCAAGGAAGGGTGAAGATACAGTATAGTATTCTATTATGTGTTCAGTAGCTAAAACTCTTTTAGTGGAGATTAAAAAGGCACAGTAAGAACATAAGAAAGGAGGAACACTGCAGCAGGCCTGTTGGCCCATACTAGGCAGGTCCTTTACAATCCATCCCACTAACAAATACCATCTCACTAAGAATACCGTGACTGGTGCAATACACAAATGGGAGAGACTTATAACGACGTTTCGGTCCTACTAGGACCATTAACCAGCGTGTGTCTAGTTAATGGATCGAAATGTCACCATACGTTTCTTACCTTGTACGGGTTCTTTTCCTCTTCTATCAAGGTTAGAATTTCTGTTACCCGGAAAGTGCATTTATCCTGTCATACGAAGTTAGAGGAACCGATGAAATCACAGAGATGGGAGACGTTAGGAAGAGTCAACTGGTGATTACTGCCACCATGTAATAAATTCATTAACAAATCCTCCGTCTCACTGTACATGTCAAACACTACATACAAAATGAAAGTTGCAATTTTGTAGCTGAAACAATGCAAAAAAAAACTATTTCACATATTAGAGATAAGATTAAATGACATGGATCCTGGATCATTGTATCATTTTCAAGTCACGAATGGCATGATAATGGCGCAAGAAGGGTTGAAACTACGTCTAGTTTCACCTTAAATTTATGGTTTAGTTACTGTACACACACCACAACTTTTGAGTACAAGAAATATAATTTGTTTTCTCAACACAACGTATTCCAACAGTATGGTAGTCAAAGTGTCTTAGATTACGAAGGTACTGAAGCTTCTTAAAACGTATGCAGAGATGTTTTAAATAAGATTCTCAGTGAATGCAGGACACACACTGCCTGCAGAACACGCACTGCCTGCAGGACACACACTGCCTGCAGGACACACACTGCATGCAGGACACAGAGAAGAGGACAAGGACAAGGCCAGAGTCAGCAGAGTACAACCGGAGCAGAGCAGAGCATCAAGCGAAAGCACATACAGAACCATCCACAGAACCTCACAACCAAACACGCTATCCCAACACAAACCACAATTCACACTTACAGCCCCCACCCCACACTACGCCGTAGAATCCCACAGCACACTGCCAGGTCCCCCATCCTCACAGACCCCCGAGAATACAGTGTTGGAGAGGAAACTGAAGGTATGGTACATCAAAGCTGATGGAATAACGAATAAGTGGGAGGAATGTCTCGAAAGAGTCAAAGACGCATCGCCGAACATTATAGCTCTCGCAGAAACCAAGCTCAAAGGAATGATAACAGATGCCATCTTTCCAAAGGGATATCAGATTCTGAGGAAAGACAGAGGGAACAGAGGGGATGGAGGAGTGTCAGTGCTCATCAAAAACCAATGGGATTTTGATGAACTGGAGAGAGGAGACAGAGGAGAAGCAAGAGACTGCGTAATAAGAACACTTCTGTCTGGAGGTCCTAAGGTGGTAAGTGCAGTGATGTATAACCCACCACAGAACAGCAGGAGGCCAAGGCAAGAGCATGATGAGAGTAATAGAGCGATGGTCAGAAGGGCTCATATGAGCAGGGCAAGGCTACTGATTGTGGGTGACTTCACTCACGAGGAAATCGACTGGGAGAACCTGGAGCCACGTGGGGGCCCAGAAACGTGGAGGGCTAAGATGTTGGAGGTGGTACTCGAAAACGTCATGTACCAACACGTAAGGAACACTACAAGAGAGAGATAGAAGAGGATGAACCAGCAAGACTGGACCTAGTATTCACCTTGAGTAGTGCAGATATTGAGGACATCACATATGAAAGAGTTCTTGGGGTCAGTGACCACGTGGTGTTAAGCTTCGAATACATAGTAAAGTTACAAGTGGAGAGGAAAGCAGGAAGTGCAGGACGAATGAAACCAAACTACAAGAGAGAGGACTACAGAGGCATGAAGAATTTCCTGTACGGGGTTCAGTGGGACAGAGAACTGGCAGGGAGGTCAGTAAACGAATATGTGACAACAATATACAAGGAAGCCGAGGAGAGGTTTGTACCCAAGGGTAACAGAAATAACGAGAAAGCCAGAATGAGCCCTTGGTTCACCCAGAGGTGTAGAAAGACCAAAACCAAGTGTGCTGGAGAATGGAAGAAGTATAGAAAGCAAAGGACCCGGGAGAATAAGGAGAACAGTCACAGAGCCAGAAATGAATATGCACAGGTAAGAAGGGAGGACCCGCGACAATACGAAGATGACATAGTAGCGAAAGCCAAATCTGACCAGAAGCTGTTGTACAGCCACATCAGGAGGAAAACAACAGTCAGGGACCACGTAATCAGGCTGAGGAAAGGAGGAGAGATCACAAGAAACGACCGTAAAGTATGTGAGGAACTCAGCATGAGATTCAATGAAGTGTTCACAGAGGAGACAGAAGGGACTCCAGAAAGACAGAGAGGTGGGGTACACCATCAACTGTTGGACAGCTTGGGACAAAACTGACCTGAAATGCTCTGCATAACAAGCGGATTTCTACATAGTAGTATGTCATTGATGTCAGCTAGTTTGAAATCGACCAGAAGAGGTTTTTCCCAGTTATCACCAGGAGACCGACAGTTCCTCGATGGAGACTCCTTAAAGTGATTGCTTAAATTTGTTCTTTTTTTTTTCTTCCTCCAACTTTTTCGTTTTCATTTTTCTTATACCTCGAAAAAAATCTCATTCAGTCAGTTTTAAGTTTTTCGATGCATCTGCATGGTAACTAGAGCTAAATTCTTTGAACAACTGGCTCTCTTGTCCCATGACCAAAGTTTCTGTACTTATTTCCAGCATCCTGGAATGGTTCTGATAACTTCTAAAACCCTCAGTGGCATATCTTCGGGCATTAAACAGAAGATTCTTCCTAAATCGACGACAGTGGAGATGACATTCAAATTTATAAGTGCATATTTAACCATTGTATGTGTAAAATTGCGTGACATTTTTTATTCCCATTACATAACAATAAAAAAATTGCAGTTTACCTATCCTGAACGGTTTCAGTATTAATGGCTAATGTATCTTATGGGCAGGATAATACCCATTAAGTGTGTGTGACTAATTTGTCAGAACAATAAAATAGTTAATTAAACTTGAGAATGATTCATTAGATCGGCTTCAAATTTTCATCACTTGTGTGCTGTTACTGGCTGGCATAAGTCCCAATTTGCTAATTTTACTGAATATACAGTAATATTCATTTACACTCAGTTGCCACATTATTAGGTACGCCTGTACACCTCGTTAATGCAAATTAACGAGGAGGCAGCACTTCAATGCCTAAAAGCATTCAAACCTGGTCAAGAGGTTCGGTTGTTTATCAGATCTAAATGACTTGGACTGTGGAATCATTGTTGGTGCCAGACGAGGTGGTTTAAGTATCTCAGGCACAACTGATCTGGAATTTTCATGCACAATTGTCTATAGAATTTACAGAGAATTATGTGAAAGAACAAAACAACCAGTGAGCGACAGTTCTGTAAGCGAAAACGCCTTTTTAATAAGGTCAGAGAAAAATTGCCAGACTGGCTCAAGGTGACAGAAAGGTGACTGTAACTCAAATAACCACACGTTACAACAAATGTATGGAGAAGAGCATCTCTAAATGCACAAGATATCGAACCCTGAAGTGGATGACAGCAGCATCAGAAGACCACACCAGGTTCCACTCCTGTCAGCTAAGATCAGGAAACTGAGGCTACAGTTGTCACAGGCTCACCAAAACTGGACAGAAGAATGAAGAATGAACTGAAGAATGAACTGAAGAATGTCACTTCTGATCAATGCTAAATCACTGTGTGGGACTTCACTGTGTTATCATTTAATAAATCTTGCGATTTCTGAGTGCCACGTCCAGTTGCCTGATAATGCAGTTCTTACTGGATTCAAACTTAATGTGCTGGTGTATTTTAGGATATTGTTCCCTCTCAGATAACAAGAGAATTCCTTTTTAATTAAGCAGCCCCAAAGCTGGTGCTTCTTAGCTGAAGATTTGAGTTAGTTTAGTGCTGTGTATGTATTACTTTATCATTTTATTGAAAAACATTAGGATATTAGTGTTTATGTGATAACTCGTAACTACCAAATGTGACACGCATTAAGTCTTCATCGTTAATACTTAAGTGCGTTAGAAACTTACGCCGAACTCTTCACTGGGCTTTTCTTGCGTACTGACCTACGGAGACATGGGGTTAGGCGGCACTGGGATACCTTTCTCGGGACGAGCAGTAGCCAAAATTCATCTACTTTAAAAACAGGCTTACTATGGGCTCAAATCCTGCCCGTTCCATGAGAAGGTATTATTAACCACCTTATAAAATTAATAAATTTTCACCTATATAGATTAAGTTAACAGGGTGTCATCTTTTTTCACGAGATGCAGCCGCCACTACGATTCAAGCCGATCACAAAACACAAATACTTGAGTTAAATCATCGAAGAAATATCAAACTATTGTAAAATAAAATTAGGAAATAGGTATCAACGCTTTCCAATAGCCGATCAGACGAAGCTTCCTCAAGTTATTGCACGGGAACTAAAAACCATGAATTCTTTATGTAAAACTGACCAGAGGGTATTCGAAAAAAACGCCAATAGTTGTTTAAAACGTTCCATCCTTTCAGAACACCAACACTGAAGATATAAACCTAGTTATCAGGTTTAAATTTTCAAGTTATGAACGAAAACCTCGAAGGAAAAATGTTTATCATTAGACGTCCAGATAAAGGTTCGTCTTCGAGATTATTTATCAAAGACGGTGATAATATAAATGTTCAACCCGAGGATGGGATAGTTTTTGCTAAACTGAGTAAGTGTGGTGAGTACAATCACAGAGGCAACAACTGTGTATCTGTACTTGTATAATTAATAAGAAACATGTGCAACATCTGGGTATCTTGTAAAATTACCCTGATGCTTCGCATGTGTCTAAGTCATCTCCTCGGTAGTTAATAACATTGATATACAGAGTACAAGTATTTCAGGACTCAAATGAGTAGTTCTATTTTCAATATGGCTGAATTTGGATCAACTTTATTCTCTGAAACTGCAGGAGATACGTATCCAAATATTGTCAATGAACTCTACTAAATTTTAAAAAAAAATAAATACCAGTAGTAATTTCGTTATTTTCACAGGATTAATTGAGAGATATTCTGTTAGCTTTCAATCATGATACTGAAAATTTATTGAAAATACCTGTATCCCTAGAAATTATTTCTTCACCAAAGAGGATATTATTGCTGGATAAATTGCCGCTTGGCTGGATTTTGACGACGATTCCACACCAGGAAACATTCAGAACCTACAAACGAATGTTTATACCTTCTTACCTACCAAAAGGCCAATATTTTTTTTTCACCTTATCTAATTATACTATGGGGAAAACTGTCGAGTATCATCCGTGAACAAAGTGCAGTTATCCTCTGTAAAAAATAATCGTGAATTATCTGTGAGCTAACAGTCGTGTATTGCCTGTGAACAAACTATCGTGTATCGTCTTTTAAAAATTTTCATGGATTGTCTATCAGCAAACTAATCATCTATTACAACAACGTGCATCCCTTATGTTAATGTGCTAAAGAAAACAAATGCCCTCTCTGATGTTAATATGCTCAGGAAACTATCGAAACCCTTGCACAGCTCTCAGGATTTTCTTCGCTACAGGTGAACACATCTCTGAATGGATTATCAAAACTAGAACTGACCGAATTAATAAAATATACGACCTATCTCAAATAAGAAAATAGCAACACATTCCTATACAATAATTATAATAATAATAATACAATGCTCTAATCCCAGAAGAGTCATGTAACAGTTGAAGCTCCCGACTTATTTTGAGAATTGACTAGTCATCACAAATTCATGGTCTCAAGACACATTTATTGTAGGTGAAACTAAGGAGGTAAGTCTTTCATACCAAATCACTTAAACAGAGGAGCTGAAACAGAAGTTTCAGTCCTCTTTCACAAAGATCTCTTCTTATATCATAGGAAATTACTCCTTCCCAAATCACTGTCCTTCATTATTTTCTCTAAACACCTCTAGATGAAAAAAAAGTCACAGCTTAATTTTAAAGCCACGTATGAAGTCTAAGTTATACAGTTTCTTTAGTCACACAACATTCTCTTCCCCAAATTATTTACGTCGCTGAATCCGTCCAATAATCCACTGGTGCAGTTGGTAATGACAATGTTGTCAGGACGATGGTCCCTGTACGATAATTAGAGCGCATCAACAAGCACATTTCCACATTTAAAACTGAATTCTCCGCTTTGTATACTTCTTACACTCCTATGTATTCACGAATTCAAAGTTGACGCCTTAAATGTAACTGATTCATGATCATCCATACATGCTCTTAACCCTGTGAGGCACTTTTGTGACATGTTCATGTCAGGAACCAGACGCGAGTCTAGTAAATTTATAGACAATGAAGTTTGAAAAATTTTTGCTGGTTCCCTCTCACTTTCGTTTTCAAATGCGTGATAGAACTGATTTACTGTCAAAGGCTTATGCGCTGATTACAGTTTTGGGTCATCCAAAAGTGGTTTATTTGCAATATGTCAGTAATTCGGAATTAAATTTATGTGATGGTCCTTGAATTGAGACATAGGGAGACTGACACCAGACATTTACAATCATTCTCTCAGGCAGGAACAGCCACATATGGAGTATCCAAGCTGCTCAACAGCCTTAAAATCCCAAGATTGATGGATTGAACACATCTACTCCAGGCTGAGGGACTGATTACTTAATTCTCCTCCTCATCTTTCACCGTTTTTCTCTGTATTGGACTGAAGAAGCCACTAGCTGGCGAAACGTTTCCTCAATAAGGATTTCCAAATGTTGCATAAGCGCCTCATTCTTCAAACATCCTTATGACCCACCACAGCAGCAGTAGACCAACCAACTACACTAGTGAGAACATTTTTGAGCATAATTTAAGCTTACCTCATTAATGCTCAACACGCCCAGCATCCATCATTACAAAAATCAATAAAATAAAATAGCACAGTCTCCATTAGATGAACTTCCCAGATGATATCCCAACCTCGGAGGTTTTCTTGCTTATCCCTGCTAGTAATACCTAAGAAAATACACCAACTTTTCTTACAGCAGAGACAAACACAAATGAGACAAGCACACTGGGAAGCAAGCACTCTACAATAACATCAGCAACAGAAGATACAAGCACATCGTGGAGCATATACCAACAAACTTAATTCTTCACACAGCTATTGACCATAATGAACCAATTGCCATAAAGGTATACGAAGAGGATCGGTCGCGTACGCAAAGTGTTGGATCCCTTAATGAACCTTGGAGAAATTATCTTATAAAGGCAATTGAAGCCAATGGAAAACACAATACCAAGTCTCAGGGCTACTAGGAGTTTCATAAAATTTTACTACACTGTTGGTTGTTATGCTGCCAGCCATCGACTCGGCTACAAGACTCTCTGGGAGCTTATACTACCTACTGATATACCTACTGTTAAAAAATATTTAGTTTGCCAGCGGAACTGCTGTCGCATCCTGCGTCATTATGTACTTCAATGTGATAAAAAAAAAAGGTATTTTGAAAGAACTCATTCACAAATACTCAAGAAATGTGAACATTTTATCGACGGAGGCCTGGTCACAGACCGGGCCGCGGGGGCGTTGACCCCCGAAACTCTCTCCAGGTAAACAGCTGAGTATTACTTGCAATTCTGGAAAGAGACCACAACTTTGCCTATTGCTGATAACTTGCTGTAATTTAGTTTAAAACAGCAATAACTTGCTTGGCAAACAAAATTTGGGTAAGTATTAATAATTGCAAATAAACTACAATATAGTTTATTTGCAATTAATTTCTGGCAAGACAGTGATGGAGTGAATGATGGTGAAAGTTTTTCTTTGTCGGGCCACCCTGCCTTGGTGGGAATCGGCCAGTGTGATAATAATATAAAAAGAATAAAGGTTACGTGAGGGATTTCACGAGTGTGTAAAAACCCGTTACTATTGTTCCTATGTAAATTTCAGAACAGTTTACTACTGATGAAATTTGTTTGGGTAGTATAATTGTTTGGGTCCTGCAACTAGACCTATTATATGCTTTTGTAATCTTTTCACTACCCCCTACCAGGATGGGTATGGAGTCCATAATAAAGTTATCAACTAACAAATTTCTCAAGGCCAGATATTGATAAAGGATCTCGTCACTATGACAATTACCTTGTCTGGCCGCAAAGTAACTAACAGTTATTGCTAAAAATATATATTCCTGGTGTATAGGGAATTGTAATATGAATACAAAAAGTAAAGAATCAATAAATAATATACTCACATTATGATAGGGGTCCAGATAGCCAGGTAACCCAGCAGGGTAGCCCAGCTTACCGTAGGGAAGAGGACGAACACCGTGGATGGGTGCACCAGGGTGTGTATAAGCACCAGGGTATACGTGTCCAGCAGGGTGTAGAGGTCTATGCAAGTAACGGTGCCCTGCTAGGTGGGGAGGGTACTGGAGATAGGGACTGGTGTAATAGCCACGTGATGTCGGAGCCAGCCTCTTTGTCTCCGCCAAAGAGCCCACCATCAACGCTATCAGGCAACTCTGCACAGGAGCAGTAAAATGTATTCATACATTGTGCAGTTTCTGTTATAGTGGGAACATTTGTTCCCACATATCACTGCCAGAAATAATCACAATGGGAGGTTATTTCAAAAATGCATGTGTAACAAAACTAGGAATAAGTCGAGGTACCCTGAGCATCATTGTGTTGCAGGTACAGCAAGAGAGTGTGTGGAGAAGCTGAGCTCTCACTGTTTATATACTTACCGCCAGACGCCCGCGCATGCGTGACAATAAAGATATGCAATTTGAAGAAGATGAGAAATGTTCCTTTCATAAAAAGATAAAAACAGCAGACATCTCATTCACACTCAAGATTATACGAATTTTAATCCAAACTATCCATAATTAAGCATTTTCGCCACAGGTATAACAATAGAGTGTCAGCTGCTATGTAATTCATAGTCCCATCTGTTCATTATCCTCCGTGTATATGCATGCTTTAATTTATATGTCTGTCGCTGCCGGATGTCTGAGATATTGTGCAAGTTCTTCCTGTACTATGGATGCTCCTTTGTGGAAAATTTAACTGCATTTTTCATTTATTTTTTTCTTTTGAAGGAAGCGAATATTCTGCCAAAATTTACTCAGGGTTTTAAAAAATTCTTGAGAAATGGAGAATATGTAATTAAATAGATGAACAAAATAAATACACCTTGAATTCGATCGAATATTGTCCGAGTAGCTATAACGAATTATTATTTATTGTATTTTCTTATTTTTTATTCATTTTGTGAGGTATATATGTCATTGTTTCTAGTGTTCAATGGAACAGTGCTTGACTCATGTTCATTGGACCAATGAACGTGGCTGCTGTTCACTGATACCAGAAGGATACTTGAAGGATGGTTTCGGGGGTTATCTCTCCCCAGACCCGGTTCCAGACCATGCCTCCTGGTGAATGAAGACATGATCAACTAGGTTGCTAATGCTGGCTGCTCGCAGTAAGAACCATAGTCAGGCTGATCATGAACTGATTTGAGGAACTTATTAAGTTACTTCTTGAGGAGAGCCAGTCAGAGGTCTGTTGATAATCCTCCTAGTGTATGAAGGGAGACTGTTGAACAGTCTTGAGCTCCTTACACTCTCGTTATCTCTTCGTGTTCTCACGACACGCCTGCTTTTTATTGGTTGCATTTTGCACCAGCAGCAGAGCCTTCTGCTTTCGTAGGGAGGGATTTCCGTGTGCAGATTCGGCCCCAACACTTCTAGGATTTTCCAGGTGTAAATTATGATATATCTTTCTCGGCTGCTTTCCATGGAATACAAATCGAGGGACTTTAAACACTGAAACTAATAAAGGTGTTTAACTGATTAATCCAGGTAGTGGAGGTTCTCTGTACATTCTCCAGATACACAGTTTATCCCACCTTTAAAGAGGGTGTTTGTCTTCATTTATCTAAAAAGAACAAGTTACTTAAAGAAGACCTTCATTACCTTGTCATCTTTTGTTTTGAAGGTTCTTGTTATCCATCCTCCCATTTTCCTCGCGGTTATGACAGTGACACTGATGATATCCTTGGAAGTTAGATTATATAGCATTATCTCTTCTAAGTTTTCATGATAGTTTCTCGTTCTATATGAATTAGTTTGGGATAGTTGTATACACCGTTCTAATATTTATTTTCTCTTTCCATAACTGAGTAACAGAAATTTGCCTTCAATGAACTTCATATTGTTTTCTGACGCCAAAGGGAAAGCTTGTTGATGTCGAAAGATCTGCAAAAGCTGAAGCTGTGGTATGAATTATAAGCCCGTTAGTGTCGCATATGAGGAAAACGAGGGAGGATGAGGAGGAGGAGGATGTGGAACTGTGTCGTGGGGAAGAGAGCTGGGTCAGTGTTCATGACTCTTGTCCACAGTGGCAGAATTCATGACTTCTGTTTACTGATTCAACGTTCATGACTGTTGCTCTCTGGGTTATTGTTCTTCAGTGATGTTTACTGAGTTAATTATCATGACTGCTGTTCGTGGAGATCAGTATTCATGACTATTGTTCAGTGGGACAATGTTCACAGGTATTGTTCAATGGGTCTGTCATGACTGTTGCTCAGTGAGTCAGTGTTCATTACTTGTTCAATGAGTCAATGTTCATGGTTCATGACTTTTGTCCAATTAGTCAGTGTTCATGATTGTTATTCAATGTCCATGATTGTTGTTCATTGAGTCAGTGGTTATGACTTGTTCATTGAGTCAGTGTTCATGACTGTTGTTAACAGGGTAAGTGTTCATAGCTGTTTTCCAGTGAGTCAGCGTTCCTGTTGTTCAGTGTGTCAGTGTTCATGACTGTTGTTCAGTACGTCAGTGTTCATGACTGTTGTTCAGTGCGTCAGTGTTCATGACTGTTGTTCAGTACGTCAGTGTTCATGACTGTTGTTCAGCTAGTCTGCACTCCAATATTTCCCTCTAACAGCATTAACGGGACAGTAACTTAACAGAACAACAGGAGCAACAGTAAACAGCGTAACAGCAGTACAACCCTCCAAGATATCAAGGTGGCTGGAAATGTAATATCGTTACGTTATGTTACGTTATGTTACGTTATGTTACGTTATGTAACGTTATGTAAACGAGGCCTGGTCTCGTTCTGGGCCGCGGGGGCCGAGAACGTAATGTTGTCACTGTGCTGCACCTACGTTGTCAGGATGTCTCGATGACTGTTTTGATGTCAGTATTGATGCCACTATATGTTTTAATTGTTTTTCCCCTGTTAGACTGTTGTCGTTATACTTGATACACTGATGTCATTATTCTGATAGACAGTTGTTATGATAGTCTATTGTCATGTTACTGGTAGACTTTCGGCATTATACTACTCGAGTGTTATTAAGCTGTAAGTATGGTCATTATACTTAGACTGTTATCACTATACTGACAGACTGTTATCCATATACTGGCAGACTGTTGTCATTATACTGACAGACTGTTGTCATTATACTGGCAGACTGTTGTCATTATACTGGCAGACTGTTGTCGTTATACTGGCAGACTGTTGTCATTATACTGGCAGACTGTTGTCATTATACTGGCAGACTGTTCTCATTATACTGGCAGACTGTTGTCATTATACTGGCAGACTGTTGTCATTATACTGGCAGACTGTTCTCATTACACTGGCAGACTGTTGTCATTATACTGGCAGACTGTTCTCATTATACTGGCAGACTGTTGTCATTATACTGGCAGACTGTTGTCATATACTGCAGACTGTTGTCATTATACTGGCAGACTGTTGTCATTATACTGGCAGACTGTTGTCATTATACTGGCAGACTGTTGTCATTATACTGGCAGACTGTTGTCATTATACTGGCAGACTGTTGTCATTATACTGGCAGACTGTTGTCATTATACTGGCAGACTGTTTTCATTATACTGGCAGACTGTTGTCGTTATACTGGCAGACTGTTGTCATTATACTGGCAGATTGTTGTCATTATACTGACAAACTGTTGTCATTATACTGGCAGACTGTTATCATTATACTGACAAACTGTTATCATTATACTGACAAACTGTTGTCATTATACTGGCAGACTGTTATCATTATACTGACAGACTGTTATCATTATACTGACAAACTGTTATCATTATACTGGCAGACTGTTCTCATTATACTGGCAGACTGTTGTCATTATACTGGCAGATTGTTCTCATTATACTGGCAGACTGTTATCATTATACTGACAAACTGTTGTCATTATACTGACAAACTGTTGTCATTATACTGGCAGACTGTTATCATTATACTGGCAGACTGTTTCATTAACGCAGACTTGTATTACTGGCAGACTGTTGTCATTATACTGGCAGACTGTTGTCATTATACTGGCAGACTGTTGTCATTATACTGGCAGACTGTTGTCATTATACTGGCAGACTGTTGTCATTATACTGGCAGACTGTTGTCATTATATAACTGGTCCGAGACTGTTGTCATTATACTGGCAGACTGTTGTCATTATACTGGCAGACTGTTGTCCTTATACTGGCAGATTGTTGTCATTATACTGGCAGACTGTTGTCATTATACTGGCAGACTGTTGTCATTATACTGGCAGACTGTTGTCATTATACTGACAAACTGTTGTCATTATACTGGCAGACTGTTGTCATTATACTGGCAGACTGTTGTCATTATACTGGCAGACTGTTGTCATTATACTGGCAGACTGTTGTCATTATACTGACAGACTGTTGTCATTATACTGGCAGACTGTTGTCATTATACTGGCAGACTGTTGTTATTATACTGGCAGACTGCTGTCATTATACTGGCAGACTGTTGTCATTATACTGGCAGACTGTTGTCATTATACTGGCAGACTGTTGTCATTATACTGGCAGACTGTTGTCATTATACTGACAGACTGTTGTCATTATACTGGCAGACTGTTGTCATTATACTGGCAGACTGTTCTCATTATACTGGCAGACTGTTGTCATTATACTGGCAGACTGTTGTCATTATACTGGCAGACTGTTGTCATTATACTGGCAGACTGTTGTCATTATACTGACAGACTGTTGTCATTATACTGGCAGACTGTTGTCACTATACTGACAGACTGTTGTCATTATACTGGCAGACTGTTGTCATTATACTGGCAGACTGTTGTCATTATACTGGCAGACTGTTGTCATTATACTGGCAGACTGTTGTCATTATACTGGCAGACTGTTGTCATTATACTGGCAGACTGTTGTCATTATACTGGCAGACTGTTGTCATTATACTGGCAGACTGTTGTCATTATACTGGCAGACTGTTGTCATTATACTGGCAGACTGTTGTCATTATACTGGCAGACTGTTGTCATTATACTGGCAGACTGTTGTCATTATACTGACAGACTGTTGTCATTATACTGGCAGACTGTTGTCATTATACTGGCAGACTGTTGTCATTATACTGACAGACTGTTGTCATTATACTGGCAGACTGTTGTCATTATACTGGCAGACTGTTGTCATTATACTGACAGACTGTTGTCACTATACTGACAGACTGTTGTCATTATACTGGCAGACTGTTGTCATTATACTGGCAGACTGTTGTCATTATACTGGCAGACTGTTGTCATTATACTGGCAGACTGTTGTCATTATACTGGCAGACTGTTGTCATTATACTGGCAGACTGTTGTCATTATAC